CTAACTTGACATAAGTGACGTTTACTCAAATTTGACGTTTGACTGAAAAAACTGCATTTGAAATGTCTGTAATGTTATTTTAAAAAAAGCTAACTTGACATAAGTGACGTTTACTCAAATTTGACGTTTGACTGAAAAAACTGCATTTGAAATGTCTGTAATGTTATATTAGAAAAAAGCTAACTTGACATAAGTGACGTTTACTCAAATTTGACGTTTGACTGAAAAAACTGCATTTGAAATGTCTGTAATGTTATTTTAAAAAAGCTAACTTGACATAAGTGACGTTTACTCAAATTTGACGTTTGACTGAAAAAACTGCATTTGAAATGTCTGTAATGTTATATTAGAAAAAAGCTAACTTGACATAAGTGACGTTTACTCAAATTTGACGTTTGACTGAAAAAACTGCATTTGAAATGTCTGTAATGTTATATTTAAAAAAGCCTTTTTTCTAATATAACATTTTGAAAGCAGTATTTTAAATTTGATTAGATATCACTTATGATTGAAACTATTTGTAAGTGATCAATACTATATCTTTCATATACTTTAAATATTAAGTCTAGAAACCATTTGAATTGAAGGAATTCGGTACAAACTGTCAAATCTGACATTAGCAGTGACGTTTCTATGTGGTAGAGGTTAATGCGGATTTGTCGTGTGAATATGAATGTGTTTACAGCGATGCGGCACCAAAGACCACCGTGATCGACACAGCCAAGATCAAAGCTGCACCCGGATCGGGTTGTCCACGTTGCGGAGGTGTTGTGTTCGCTGCTGAAGAGGTTCTCGCCAAGGGTCGTCCATGGCATCGCAAGTGCTTCAAGTGTCACGACTGCAACAAGACCCTCGACTCGATCAACGCGTGCGACGGCCCCGACAGGGATGTTTTCTGCAAGACCTGCTACGGCAAGAAGTGGGGACCCCACGGTTATGGATTTGCTTGCGGCTCTGGATTCCTTCAGACTGATGGGTTGACGTAAGTCAAATTTATAAGTCAATAACTATGTAGCATTTTATCTTATGGTTTTTTTTTTTTGTTTATTATAGCGAAGACGAGATCTCACAGTCTCGCCCATTCTACAACCCAGATACGACTTCGATCAAGGCCCCCGAGGGACAAGGTTGCCCGAGGTGCGGAGGAATGGTCTTCGCAGCTGAGCAGCAGTTGGCCAAGGGAACGGTTAGTTGGTGAAAATTTATGTTTGCAAATGTGTTTTGATTGTTGTTTCTGTTTATTGAAGATGTGGCACAAAAAGTGCTTCAACTGCGCCGAGTGCCACAGGCCCTTGGATTCCGTCCTCGCCTGCGACGGTCCGGACCGCGAGGTCCACTGCAAGGCCTGCTACGGCAAACTCTTCGGCCCCAAGGGTTTCGGCTTCGGCCACACTCCGACCCTTGTCTGCGCCGACGGACAGGCTCCGGCCCTGCAAACATCCAGGCCCAATTCGGGCGCGAAAGCCGCCCCCGGCATGGGCTGCAAACGTTGCGGATACGCCGTGTACGCCGCCGAACAGATGATCAGCAAGAACGGCGTCTGGCACAAGAGATGTTTCAGCTGCTGCGACTGCAGCCGCTCCCTCGACTCCACCAACCTCAACGACGCCCCCAACGGCGAGATCTACTGCAGGGGTTGCTACGCCAAGCACTTCGGCCCCAAGGGCGTCGGCTTCGGCATGGGCGCCGGCACCCTCACGATGGCCTAGACACCGAACACACGTTAAACAAACAAACAAACAAAGTTACCTAGCAACCAAGAAACGAACAACAGAAAATGACAAAAAAAAAAAAGAAGAGAGAACGCAACACGGTTGCCCGGTAACGACGTTTTAAAATGAGAAAAAAAAGCTTAAAAAAATATATAACTAAATAAATTTAAAAAAAAAAAAATCCCCCGCAAATAAATTAACTCTGTATGCTTCGAAACTCGCATATTTTTGAACATTCTTTTCGAACAAAATGAAAAACCTCCCCATCGCGAAGGAGGCAAAATAACAAACAACCAAGAACCGAAGAAAAGAATTACCATGAGCGTTCCACACGCACGCACAACCAACAATTTTTTTTTTGTTACATAGATGACGATGTTTTTTTTTTGTGTGTATTCCAGAGAGTAGTGAGAGGACACGTTTCATAATAAAATGCAAGAAAAGTAACGAATTAAAAAAAAATCTCGGTATTTTAGCAATGGGATCAAAGTAAACGAAATCACTATATAAAACGTAATTAAACAAATGAAGAAGAAGAAGAAGAAGAAACTGAAGGCTACTACTTCCTCGAACGACCCGGCAACTTCGGGCAACTGCGAAAGATTTTTTTGTACATATATACACCGGCCACATCTTGTTGGTCTATATTTTATTTACTATTTAAGAAAATGAAAAAAAGAATACAGAATTGATTCATGATGACGAAATGGCTTTGGCGCTTCGCGTGCAATTATAATGAAAATCTATATATATTAAAAAAAAATGAAATAATCCACAGATTCAATAGAAATAATCAAATTTGATATCGAACTCTTTTTTTTTTGTTTTGTTTTGTTTCTACTTTCGTCTATTTACTCTTATAATTTTTATCGCTACCGTTCAATTTGTTATTTTAAGTATTGTCATTTTTGTCTAGTTTAAGTTTTAAACAATGAAATTGTATAATATCTTTAATAAAAAGCAATAAAAAGAAATCCACTCCACTTTCATTTTAATCAATTATTATGATAACTTGTATGCAATACTTGACAACTGACAACTGTTGATTACGTACTGACAAGTACTTTGACAGCTGTCAAATAATATATACTCAATATGAGTTATTTTGGCAAATAAGATTAACAAATTACATATAATTCTTAGTGAAAATCTTTATTTTATAAAAACTAAAAATTATTTCAATTGTAGATCAGAAAATAACTAATTCGATTATTAAAAATAAAAACCAGATACATTGAATTAATACTTATTTATTGTAGAAAAGTAATAAAAAAAAATATTGATTAAATAATTATACAAAAGTGTTTATTTTATTTAACATTTAGAAGTTCAATTTGTTGGTGGATACGCCAGGTATAAAGTAATGTACATTTGGTTGCCGTGCATTTAGTGAATGCGCCGGGTTATGGTAAAAAAAACAATTTATCTTATTAATATCATACTAATCCTTATAAATATTGAATGTGACTGATTTTAAATATGAGAATTATCATGATTATTATAAATAAACTATATAGTGTAACTAGTTTTGCCTATGTTATTTTATACACTTTATTGACTTTTAACCTAATTATAGGCAACCCAAAAAACCCATTTTAAAATACACCTTTTGTTTCATATTGAAAATATACGAGATTTGATGTAATTATATTTTTTTGTATATACATATTTTACAATAATTATTTTTTACATGTAAATATCTTAAGATATATTTTAAACAAATCTTAAATGAAAGACTTAAAAATATAATATATAATATAACAACAAATTGAACACATATTTGAAAGATATGCAACCAAATATGCAATTCTATTATATAAATTTATACTGTCATAACTGATTCTATCAAATTATCCGTTATGTGTGTGTTGCCTACATAACTAGCTAATATAATTTCTTTTTTTTTTTAATATCAGTTAATTAGTTTTGTTGTTTAATTCCAATGTTAATTAATTTAAAACGTAATTTGAAGAAATGTATAAAACTTTTGAAGTTCTCGTTAAAGAAGTTGCCTATATTATATATATACAAATTATCTTTGCACAAAATGACAATTTTTTAAAGAAATTACATTTTAATAACCAACATCAAATCAACATAAATTAGTTTTAATAAAAAAACTAGTAGTAATTAAATATCCAATTAAACGTGCTACAAGTTGCATACATTACATAATCGAGTTTCACACACAAAAAACTGGTCTTGGTAATTATCTTCTTCGAACTTGTTTAATTTGAATAGGATTAAATTTAATGATGATTAGTTATTAATTTATTATCTTTTTTTTCTATAATTTCGTTGGTATGCCAACGAGAAACAAAACGAACAAACAAAAAAAAAACCAACATGATTCCTTAATGAGAAAACTTAATTACGATTAGTAATTAGCGGACGACGTATCTAATTAAAGTTTAGAAATTAATTATAACACCAAGGATTGGAAATAACGACCGGAGACCGGTATGCAAATCGCCTCGTTCGATTCATTATAATTTTCGATTCATTCATAAATAAATACAAAAAAAAATCAAATCAACGCTGTTGTTTCTTGTTGAAATCTCTATTGAGTTTCAACGTAATTAAGAGCGCGACGCGAAATGAAACAAAACAACGTATGAGAAGTAAAGAAACAAAAACAAAACAAATGAGAAACGTAAGAAAGGCGCGACAAGTACGACCGCTTTTTGTTTGCGTCCGTTCCCAACGCGACGACAACAACAATAATTATAATTAAAAACAAACAAACGTTGTCGATAATTGACAATCGTAAATTTCGCGAAAGGCGCTAATTAGAGGCCGGCATTTGTTTGCGTTCGCTTTTCGCGAATCCGATTATCGGAAAACCGTTTCCATTAAAACATTAATCATTAGTCAATAACAACTTTCTAAACGATTCCATTGATAAGACAACGTTCGTTGCTACTTAAATCTTACATTTTGTTGCTTCAAAATTGGAACGCAACTGTATGCATTTATTCATGGGATTGAGAGACCGTTTAGATGTTTAAAATAAGCAGTAGCAGCAGCGAGCAAACATACATTAAAGAATGACTGACTGATCGATACGTGGATGCGAGACCTTAACCGTATTACAATTTAATTAAACGATAATTGCTGCTATCGGATTGATCGTTTGTACGCAATTATCCAAGAATAAATCATGACTGTTTAAATGTAATAGAGTTGTATTAAAACGGTTTCAATCTACATTCACTGTTTATATTTCAGTTAGCATTACACTGTTGACTTTAGCAATTTGCTTTGATTCACGATTGTCGATATCTTCAGATCAGTTTTGATCGATTGATCGTATTAATGACACGTACACACTACGTCAGATTATTAAATTTGACAGCTGTCAAACACTAACGAACCAAATAATACGTCAGTATTGACAACTGTCAGTATTTTTTAAGTGACAGCAGATAATTGACCGTATCAATTTCAAATGACGTTTCATATACAATTTAAATAATTGACGTCATTGAAACATAACCAATCTCATGTCAGGTCAGATTGTTTACTTTGACAGCTGTCAAACACTAACGAACCAAATATTACGTCAGTATTGACAACCGTCAGTATTTTTTTAAATGACAGCAGATAATCGTTGATTATTACAATTTTCAAATCACAATTGATTGATTGATCGTTTGAATAATTGACGTAATTGAGACATAATAAATCTTATGTTACGTCAGATTATTTTATTTTTTACTACAGTATGTAATTGTGACCTATGTAAGTATGACGTTTCATAAACGGACATAACCAATCAAACGAAATGTCAATATAAAATAAGTACATGTTCAAAGATATTTATTGATTAAATAATTGACGTATTTGAAACATAACCAATCTCATGTCAGGTCAGATTATTTAATTTGACAACTGTCAAATATTACGTCAGTATTGACAACTGTCAATATTTTTTTAAGTGACAGCAGATAATTATTGATTATTACAATTTTCGAATCACAATTGATTGATTGATCGTATGAATAATTGAAGTAATTGAGACATAACAAATCTTATATTACGTCAGATTATTTAATGACTACTTTTTTTACAAATGCATCATTTTAAAAGTATGTAATTGTGACTTATGTAAGTATGACGTTTCATAAGCGGACATAACCAATCAAATGAAATGTCAATATAAAATAAGTGCATGTTCAAAGATATTTTTTTAGATTAATGAATTCTTTAAATTAGTTTTAATAGTGATCGACCGTATCAATTTCAAATGACGTCTCACACACAATTTAAATAATTGACGTTATTGAAACATAACCAATCACATGTCACGTCAGATTGTTTAGTTTGACAGCTGTCAGTAATTTGACAGATGAATGAACTTAAGACTATATCTCTTTTTTTTTGTTGATATTGTGTAATATTAAAGGTTGTAGAATGTGAAGGATTATGTAAAGGAATTCTTTATTGCTTTCGTTATTCGGAGCCATTCGAAATTGGGTTGTAGGGTATGGAATAATACCCGGAACGACGACAAATAAAAAGGGGGGCACAAGGGCAGAAGAAACAAAAGTAGGTGTGTGCTGCTGTTGCTGCTTCTGTTGCTGCAAACATGCCTACTGTGTACGATGTACGGCAGTCAATAAAAAGAAATGACTTCGGTAACATATGTTACCATCGGGGCTAAGAACACAATGGTATGGATACATAATAGCTCTATTCGATTTACGGCCTGAGCCGACGCTCGGAGGCCTCTCTTTTTCTCTTTCTCTCTCTAGAAGAAGAACGAAGAAACGATGAGAAGGTATAAAAGTAAAACGCAAAGGGTCCGACCATTCCCTCCTTTATTCCTCCCTTTTCTTTGGCGTACATTTATATAAATTTTTTAATTGATGCAAGAAAGAATGGGAGGTTATGGAAAATAATAAAAGAATGAGAGGGAGTTAGGGGAAAACAAAAAAAAAAATGGGCAGGCGCAGTAATTAAGGGAAACATTTGAATATCGAGACAAAAGAGAAAGGAGAGCGGTATGAATAAAACAAAAATATTAATTAAGATCGGATTATATCGGACGATTCGGTGTGCAGTTGTTTCTCGTTCATTTGTCATTTAGAGTTTTTTTGTTTATTTAAATATATATATTACTTTAATATAGTTATAAATCATGTCTTCTTTGTTGATAATTTACTGTCAAATTTGAAGTAATGAAAAATAAAGTTTTGTCTGTACTTTTTATCAAATTTCTAGAAAACTACGAAAGGTAGGTCAAATATTGAAAATGTCTGTTAAAGATAAAACAATAAGGAATAATTATAGTGTAATTTACTTTCTGTGACAGTTGTGGTATGCTTGTAATTTATTGTTGAATTTTAAGTAATGAAAAATTAAGTTTTGAATAAATGTTGTCTGTACTTTTTATCAGATTTCTAAAAAACTACGAAAGGTAGATCAAATATTGAAAATGTCTATTAAAGATAAAACTGAAAGGAATAATTGTAGTGTAATTTACTTTCTGTGACAGTTGTGGTATGCTTGTAATTTACTGTCAAATTTGAAGTAATGAAAAATTAAGTTTTGAAAAAGTGGTGTCTGTACTTTTTATCAGATTTCTAGAAAACTACGAAAGATAGATCAAATATTAAAAATGTCTATTAAAGATAAAACAATAAGGAATAATTGTAGTGTAATTTACTTTATGTGACAGTTGTGGTATGCTTGTAATTTATTGTCGAATTTTAAGTAATGAAAAATTAAGCTTCGAAAAAGTGATGTCAGTA